CATTTACTATTACCTTTTGCCGTGTCTTCATACAGGCGTGATTGTGATAAAGTTATCGTGATTAATTCGACGGACTGTATTATATCGTCTAAGTTTTATTTCCAGTCCTCCGGCTAACATGGTCTTCTTTGACTATTAAAGAAATTTCTATTGTTGTTAAAATTTCTTTCATTAGGAAAATTTCATTCATTGTTAAAATTTCTCTCATTAATGAAATTTCTTCTTCCTGGAGGCGCTTAGGGTTAAGCCAACAAGGCAATTGTCAAATTGGCATAATTAAGAGACAATGATTCCATTTGTTTGTTAGTTCATCAACTTCGTTACTAGTAAAAGTACTTTTAGGAGTAGTGGTTGTAATACTAGTAGTTGTATTAGGATTTCTAGGCATTCTACCAGTTGCAATATTTTAACTAATTTTAATAGTTCTTGCTGAATTTACTGCGACATTCAAATTAGCTGAATTTTGTGAATATACGAGAGGAGTATATGCAGGATTGAGTCCTATAAGGAACATTCTTTTCTTTTGAACATTATCTGTCATTCTGATTCTGTTTACTAATTTTTTAAATTTGTTGGCATACGAGTCAACTAATTCATCGGTTTATTATCGAAGCACAAATAATTCTTGATACCATTAGTTTTTCTTAGTTTTATTAATAAAACGTATCTCAAAGAGATTCACAAAATTATTTCCAGTATTTGTCCTTATATTCCAATAATTTTCAATAGTTGCAGAAATTTCTTCAAATCAATCTGCAGCTGTTTCTTTCATACGTTCTCCAGCAATAGCCTTTTTTATTTCTTTTGTAATCTATCGATTAGTGATTGATGCTCGTTCAAAAAAAGTAAGCCATTCGTTAGTATCTTCATTCTCATTTTGATGAAAATAATCAATCTTAATAGTATGTCCTTCTTCATGTAATTGTACTTCTCCTACTCTAAAAATTTCTTCTAATGCTTGTCTTATTTGATCTCCTATTGCTGCCATTATTTCTGGTGGTTTAGATGGTAGGATTCCAGTGGTTGAGTTAGATAAACTATTAGAAGAGGCGATTAATGAAGCAAGTATTTGATGTAATAACTGTCTGACTCTTTGTATTTGTAATAAATCTTGGTCTAATATTTTAATTAAATACTTCTCGAGATAAATAGTGTAACTTATCATTCAAAACAGTTGGTATTAAATGCTACACCTTAAATATATAAATATAAAATGTCAAATGATATAGATGTAGTCTGATAGCGAATTCTAGAACATATTGATATTATAACATTTTTAATCATTCATCACAATATTCTGATTCAGTAGTATAATATAAGTTTTTAAATAAATTAAATAAAATAGTAGTTCTTGCAGAGTAAGTGTCAGCTTGATTTGTAAAGTTAAATCAAACCCAAATGTATATTAAACTATCTGTGAGTTTATTATTTGAGGATGGAGAATAACACGAAAAATAAGTATAATTTATATTTAAACTTGTATTAAAGTAGTGCCTAATATATGTTCAGTTATATTATATTTAACTTCTTCAAAATTCATACACCTCACTAGTTCGTCAGTGGTTTATTATATATATTATCAACAAAGAATAGCCAGGCAGGAATCACCACTTATTAAGCTTGAACTGTTCATCATTAAGTTAACAAAGATTATTTGCTAGTAGGGAGTTTAAGTACATCTAAACTATGGAAGAAATAAACATAAAAATATAATTGAAGGATCAGGTTATCTTTATTAATATAGATTTAAAGAAGAATGAATTAAGTTTACGAGCAAAGATAAGTTTTAGAGATCAATGTTATTAATTTATTAGAGAATTAGTAATGATTCTGCCATTTATTAAGGCAGAAATACAAGATATTTATATAAAATACATTAATATGAAATAGATATTTAAGATAGTAACGAAATATAAGAAATATAATAAAATAAAGAAATTAAATATATTAAATAAATGTGTGAAATTGAGATTGCTAAGAAATTAGTGAAATTAGAGAAATCAGAGAAATGGTAAAAAGTTGAGTATCGTGATGATCAAGATTATCATTCGTTAATTATGATTGGCACAGTATCGTGCGTCATATCAAGACTATCACTAATAATGTTTAAGAACTTATTTATAAATTTTATTGATTTGACAAGTTTGACAGTAAAAGCTAGTGTATTCATTAAAATATTTATATTTTTTTTTAAAATTATAAAATTAGAATTTGATGAAAACTTTAAAATCATCATCATTATTAATATGCATTGAACTTTTTTTTTGTACCTTTGTATAAGCTATCATTAGATATAAAATAAATGGTAATGTTAAACAAACGTTCTTCATTAATATCTAAAAAAATATCATTTGATCATAAATTAGATTGAGGCTTCTGTTTATTTGAGAGTCATTATTTTGTATATTGGAGATGTCATTTTTTTGTTATTTTAGCAGTGGGTTTGATGTTATTTTTGATCAAAATTTGATTTTCTTTTGGCAACATTAGCAATTAAAACATTAGTATTTACTGTATCTTTGATTTTCTTTGAGGAAGTTTTATAATTGAAATATTGAGCTTGTTAATACAAATATTATATATTATGATCTATTAGATTTTTTTTCATTTTAAACAATCATTGGCCTTATGATGAAGCAAACAGCAAATTTCACAAAGTTTTATATTTAATTTAATTCAAATTACATGTTTTTCATTAATAGTGAGATTTTTATTGCTAAGTGTTACCTTACAATCCTTTACTGATGTGAAGTAGAAAAAGTATGTTAAAGATTGTTGTAGTTTGATCAAGCTTTGAAGATAATTCAGACAGTGTATTGACTATTCGTCTAATATTAAGAAGTTGTTTTGCAGTCATATTTTTTGAAAATTCAGCAAGTTTTATTTCAAATGATCACTTAAAAAATTATCCTAAATGTTTACTTGCAAAGAATTTTGATTTTTCAAGATCTATACATGTGATAAATCATACATATAGATTCTAATCATATATATTATTAAAAATAAAGAAATTATAACAATCTTTTAATCTTTAAAGTTAGCATTTTCATAAAAGATAATATTAGCTTATTACCACAAATTCTTAGTTTTCATATTGTAGCAAATGATTTTTTCAAATTAAGCTAGAATAGCTCTGACTCTATTTTCAGTAGAATCAAACAAAATTTCTGTAATCTTGATTGATTTTTAGGGATGTATAAATATATTAATACAATATTAAAGGTAAGAATTTGCAATTTTCAAATTTGATAAGAAAACTCAGCAAGCATGCTCATTCATCTAAGTTGTGAAAAAAAATTTTGATTGAATAAAATGATTAGTTCATTGAATATTTAATAATATTTATCAAAGAGTAAATTAACAACAAATGAAACCTTTTGCTGTAATGAGATTCTAGGAAATTTTTCATGAGGAAAAAAACTATAAAAGAAAGATTTTAGTCAATAGAAAGCTTATACTGAAGGTGTTTTTATCCAAAATGTTTTCAGATGTGTTAAAACTAGTATTAACATTATAAGAAACTTCAGTTTATTCTAAAGTGCTTTTTGAGAGAGTTTCATTTGAGTTTTATTTTTATTGGTTTAAAAAGACAAAGTAAAACATCCTTTTTATTTGGTTTTTTATTCTCTCTTATTTTATGACTTATTGAATTATCTTTTAATTAATTTAACTTAATATATATTTTAGTATAATTTTTTATATTGGTAAGAAAATCAATTATTTTTTAATCATCAATTATCCAAATTCAATTAATTAGTCTCAAAATCTATTTTATAACAAAATTAAAAAATTTAATAAATATTTAAATATTTATTATAATATTAAAAATAATTTGTTTATTTATTAATTACAAACTGCTATTTGTAATATAAAATCCACTTTATATATAGTAGTATTCATTAAATAAATTTTTTAGAATTAGAATTTAATAATAAATAAATTTTAATATATAAAAATTAAATATAATAAGTATTTAAATTTTCTTTTAAAATATTAAAATTGGTTAAATATTATTATATATATTAAATAAAAAATACTATTAATTATTTGTAATATTTAATTTCTCTATAAATTATAAATTAAAATAAATATTAATATAAAAAATTAAAATTATTTAACAATTTTTAAATTCATAAAGATTAATATAATTACCAAGATTTTGACTAATTTCTATTATAGTATCATTCTGATTTAAAATTTTATTTAAATTTTCAGTATCAAAGTCAGTTCTTTTGATTATTAGATTCAAATGAGACCATTTATTATTTATATGGTATTTCCATGATCCCAATATACATCATTCATAAAGCATCTTTTAAATATAATTTTATGTCAGTCTTGAATAAATGACTAAAGTTTACTATTCTTGATCCACAGTCAACGACTAAAATTATACGGACAATTTTTTTTACCAAAATTGGGCAGATTATCATATGATCACGAGATATAAACATTATATTTTTTTATTTATTTATATGATAAACATGAACATAAAATTTTTTAGCTATTTCGCTTTTAGTTAAAGCTTTATGAAATTATGAAAGCATTCACCTCAAAAACCCATAGTGCTATTATTTATGATAAAAAATGTGGACATTCAGGTCGTACTATTGCTAAAAATTTAGGGTGTAGTAAAACAACTGTTTATAATACACTTAAATACCTTCGTCAAACTGATTCTTTTACACTAAAAAAACAAACTGGCCGCTCACCACTCCTTAATACACCATCTCAACAAGAGCTTAATTAAAGCTTTTGTTCAAGAAAATGGTGAAAATCGTCAGCTTTGTGCAAAAAACTTTCAACTGTTTAGACATCTTGTTTAAAAACCCTATTTCTGCATTTACTATACGTCGTACCCTTAAAAAAGTTGGACTTAGTGCTCGTATTCCTCATCACAAACTTGCAATGACAGAAGCATATTGTCAAATTCGTCTTGAATGGGCTCGCGTACATGAAAAATGGATAACAAGACAATAGAGAAAAGTGTCTTTTTCATATAAGAGTACTTTTACATAATTTCAATAAGAACGTCAAGGAAAAGTATGGCGTGAACCAGGAGAAGAATTGAACCCTGATTGCATTTCAATTACTGTATTACACAGCCCAAGCAAAATGTTTGAGGATGTTTTTCTTGGAATGGACTTGGACCAATTGTTCCTTTAAATGGTTCAGTTATTAGTAAAACAAATGCTGAAACTATTCAAAAATATGTTGTTCCTACTTTGCAGAAGTATTTTCCTCATGGTAATGGAATTTTTTAAGAAGATAATGCTGCATCGCATCATTCAAAAGTTGCTGCAGCTGCTTGCGAAAGTGCTGAAATTGTGATGCTTCCTTGGCCTGCTCAAAGTCTGGACTTAAACCCAATCGAAAATCTTTGGGCAGAAATGAAAATGATGGTTTGACGTTGTACTCCCCCACTATTTAATATCTGAGAGCTTGAAAAATATGTTAAAAAAGCTTGGAAAGATATTCCTCTGGAATATTACAAAAAATTAATTGATAGCATGCCATGAAGGATCAATACAGTTATTGCTGTAAATGGAAATAGAATTAAATATTAGTATCAAGATTTTTTTTGTAAAAATCAATAAATAAAAATAAAATAAATAAAAT